AAACCAAACCTTTTGATTGTCTCATCAAAATGAAGGTTCCAGCTCCTCGAAGCATGCTTCAGTCCATAGATGGACCTCTGAAGCTTGCACACCATCCCCGGGTTCCTTGGATCAACAAAACCTTCGGGTTGTGTCATGTACACATCCTTGGTCAAGTTTCCGTTAAGGAACGCAGTCTTGACATCCATTTGCCATATCTCATAGTCGTAATATGCGGCTATGGCAAGTAGGATCCTGATGGACTTCAGCATAACTACGGGCGAAAAGGTATCATCATAGTCAATACCATGAATCTGACGGAATCCTTTCGCCACAAGTCGTGCCTTATACGCGTGCACGTTGCCATCCATGTCGGTCTTCTTCTTGAAGATCCACTTGCACCTGATGGGTTTTATCCCTTCAGATGCCTTAACTAGAGTCCATACTCGGTATTCTGATATGGATTGCGTCTCAGACTTCATAGCCTTGTGCCATTTCTCGGAATCCGGATTCCCATAGCCTCTGGATATGTGGTAGGCTCATCATGTTCCAATAACATGAGCTCCTCATTCCCAGTCATGAGAAATCCGTATCTCACAGGCTCTTGGCGAATCCTGCTTGATATCCGAGGTTCACTCGTCGAAGGTTGAGTCACAACCGGCAGTGAATCAGGTTGAACGTCTTCAACTTATTCACATGGCTCAACGTCTACTTGTTGCTCTCGAACTTCTTCAAGTTCGATCCTACTCCCACTGACTCTTTTGGAGACGAACTCTCGCTCCACAAAAGTCGCATTCCTAGCAATGAACATCTTGTTCTCTGCCGGAATATAGAAGTAGTAACCCTTTGTTTCCTTAGGGTAGCCTACAAATAAACACTTATCAGACTTGGAGGATAACTGATCAGTCATCTAACGCTTCACGTAAGCGTCACAACCCCAAATTCTGACAAATGACAATGCGGGACGCTTTCCCGTCCATATCTCATATGGCGTCGTTTCACCCGCCTTCGTTGAACTCCTGTTCAGCAGTCGACAAGCGGTCTCTAAAGCATAGCCCCAAAAGGACTTCGGAAGATCTGTCTGACTCATCATCGACCGAATCATGTCTAATAGTGTTCGGTTCCTCCGTTCAGACATGCCATTCCACTGTGGCGTTCCAGGAGGAGTTAATTGTGATACAATACCACAATCAACTAGATAGTCAGAGAACTCTTGGCTCATATACTCGCCACCACGATCGGATCGAAGTGTCTTGATCGTCTTGCCAAGCTGGTTCTGTACTTCGTTTCTGAAAGCCTTGAACATTTCAAGTGTTTCAGACTTATGTCTCATCAAATAGACATAACCGTATCGCCTGAAATCATCAGTGAACGTAACGGAATACAGATAACCTCATCTAGCTGGATAGCTCATTGGTCCGCATACATCACTATGTATCAGGTCCAATAACTCTGTCGCTCTATGTCCTTTCCCCTTGAAACGATGTGTCGTCATCTTACCCATTAAACAAGACTCGCAAGATTCAAGAGACTCAAAGTCAAATGAATCCAGAAGACTTTCAGAATGAAGCTTCTGAATGTGCTTCTCGTTTATATGGCCTAGACGACAAACGTTATAGATTGACCTGTATCTTGACGGTTCGTCATCCAAAACATAAAGGCCATTCAACTGGTAACCTTTACCAAATC